ACCCACCAATGATCTTCTTGCAAAGTTTGGAAAGAAAACAACAAAAAAAAGAACAAAACAACCTTTGTAGTCTTTGAATCCTCAAGGGGGGGGGGGGGGGGTTAGGAAGTTGATGGAGAATGGATGAACTTTTGAGATGTAAAAGAAAAATAAAAAAAATAAAAAAATAAGAGAGGATGAGTATGCCAAGCATAGTCACGGTTTTGGCATGTAAAAAGGTCAAAGGTGAAAGTCTTTCATGCACTCTCTTAAAGCTAAAACAATACACGTGAGTCCTTAACCAATTAAGCACGCATATCATAAAAGGAACTTGTCCCCCATGCCTTTAAGAACTAGCCATCTTTTTGATTAAACAAATCAAAAGGTCATGCTTCTTTTATTTTTCTTATAAAGATATAAAATAACACAAAAGTTTATAAATTTTGTAAACTTCTTTTATAAAATATAAACTTTTGCTTTTGGCTTAAAGACAAATGTCTTTCTAGTCCAAAATAATGTACATGACTTAATAAATCACACCATATGATATATTATGTTACTTGCGAATGAAAATTTATTATTTCCAATAAATAAATAATTTTCAATTAATTATAAGAGTTTATTGAATATTTATTAAAATTAATTTCTAATAAATAATCAATTGTTTCAAGTTGTTGTTAGTATGACCCATTAGTATCATATGTGAATTAGCAATATCATTTTAGTATGACTCTTGAGCATACAAGATCTTTCAAAACTTCTATTTGATCTTAGAATGTCTTTATTTAAAAAAAAATCCAAGTATGATTTTTTGGATGTTACACTTTAAACTCACCCTTTAGGTGGTTTGCATCAACAACAAGGGTTGGCTTACAATAATTGACAAAAGAGTGTACCTACAAAACATTATATATGTATTTAAAATTACTTATTCATGTCAGGTACATCAAAAATATAATTATAAAAAGTAATAATATTGAGCGAGCAACGAAGTTTGATATACAAGAACTCTAACGGATCATAATCATTTGTTTTAATATGTGTCACAATATCGGGATTATGTTTGACCAAGTTGTGGAAATAAGCTAGGACTTTGTTAATGAGTCCTCTTTGGTAACAACATGAATGAATATTATTTCTCCTGACATGCTTGTTGGTATGTGATACTAATTTTCAATATTGAATTCATATCGTTAACAATCCCACCTTCTTGATACACTATGTTATAATCTTCAGCTAAAACCTCAACAATATATTGGCCTAACACTTTTGTGTTTGCTTGCCGATGTTGAGGCTGCAAATGTGTTGAAGAACATGTGTGTTCATCAAAAATTTTGTCACTTGGAAAATTCCATTAGAATTTTTTATTTTATTTTCCTTTATTAACCAAGAATAACTTTCCTCATAAAAACTTATACCTTGATTTGGTCGATAATGTTATGTTTGTCTAAAAACCTCCGTCAAGACTTTTCTTCTAATCATCACTTTAAGTTCATCTTTGCTGTCAAATATATGTAGGCATTCAATCTTTTGACTAAGGTCTATCCTCTATGATGGAATATTGTTATTACAAAAAATTGGACATGACAGTAAAGGAGGAATACCATACAAAAAGGTATCCCAAAACCTAGGTTTATGTTCATCAACCAACTTATCTCCATCATAAATACTTTCTAAGTCGGATGTATCTAAATTAACATTTGCAACATCCGCAAATTCCCTGTAACGATCTAAATTTTCATCGTTCTGAAACAAATCTTTTTCATTTTTAGTTTCATCTTACTACGCCGACATCGTCAACATAAACTTGTTGTTGGTCCTTAGTAATATAATATCCACCCACATCATTAAGATATGTACCAACACCATCATCATCAACATGCTTATAATTTTGAGGATCATCATAGTGAATCGGTGAATGCACCATATTTATATTTTCAGAAATCCAATGAAACTGAGGTATGCTAGGAGTGATAAAAGTACATATTTGGTTATTGCTCCCTTTCCTGTTTCCTGTTAGATATGTTTACAACATGTGTTTTTCCTGTATCGTCACCTTCTTTAGCATCACTTTCACCAACCACCACATATATTTTCATAGGTTTTCCTGCAACCACCTTTATTTCGTTGATCAACTGTCTAACATCACTAACATCAACTATGACTATATAATAATGTGTTTTAGGATGTTGGAAACCAAGAGTAATATTAGATTTATCTATCAAACCAATTTTCATTTTCACAAAATATAAAAATCAGTAAAATTAATATACTTTGAAAATATCAAAACGAAATTGCATATGCTAGAAATCCTTTCATGTGGCCAAAACGTATTCTAGATTTTTCTCAACTATCTCCTACCTCCCGCCAGTTACAACCACAACAAAGTATTCACTAAAACTTAATTAAATAAAAAAATTTGAAATTAAAATTCAAAAGAAAAATTGATATTCTAACAATGTTTACATAATTTTTCTATATAATCTCGTGTAATTGTATTAATTCATAGTAAAAAAATGTCAGATATCGTAGTCAAAAGCAACAAATTCATAGTCAAACTTACATACTTTATTGGGAACATCAATAAAAAAATCAAGAATATATGAAGGGAAATCACATGCAGAGGAGAGGAAATCAAAGTTAGAGCACACCCAATTGTGATTTCAAAAACAAATGCTTTTTATAGCTACTCATTTTTTTCGGGCCATGCGTCGAAAATTGAACAAAATCATAGTATAATAAGTAAAATCGCAACCGGAGGCTAGAAAATAACAGATAGGGTTTAGGCTCCCTTGGTTAGTTTTGGAACATATATATATATATATATATATAGATATAATATATATATATATATATATATATATATATATATATATATATATATATATATATATATATATATATATATATGTTAATTTGACTATTTTTAAAAAATTAATTAAAAATTTTGGCTAATTTTGTAAGTTATCTATAAAGACTTGTGTGTGTTAATAAGCTCGCATGTAATTTATAACAAAAATAAAACTTAGAATAAAAACTTAAAAAGTCAAAAAGAGACAAAAAAATTGAGTAATTTAACCCTTATAAATGACCACTTTAACAAAAATGATTTTTTTTTTGTAAAGTAATTACATTCTCCAAAACACATGGTTCCAGAGAGGTCTCCGGAATTCCGGAGTACGATTCCGGACCATGGTTCCGGAACACCTGGTTGTTTTTTTCAGGGTTATATTACTCAATTTTCATTTATATAAGGATACATCATTTCAGAAAGGCCTCTTGAACACTTGGAGTATGATTTCGGTCCTGGAACCTTTTTTTATTGTTATTTGTGTAAATGTGTTTTGTTTTATTTTGTTTTTTGTTTTTTGTATTTTTTTTTTTGTAGAAATTTTGTTTATATATTAAATAAAATGCAATTTATAATCTTAAAATAAAAAAAAAAAACAAATAAATTTATAAACTAAAGGGATTTGTTAGAAGTAATATTACAATGTTCAAATCATCTTACTCCTTGTACTCCAAAATATTTTCGTCAGTCGTTTACGATATGACATAGCTCATGTACCGCTTGGACCGTCTATACAATACGAATTCCCGATGATCAATGCTTCTAGGAACCAATACAAAAACACCCCAAATCCCCTCTATTCTCCATCTGTTGAAGCAAAAGATCTCCATCTACATTATAAATGTCTAACCACCTCCTAAAACATGTATTCTGGAACATAGTCTCGCATTCGGGTATGTCTCTGAATGCCACAAGAATTTCTCCGCCAATTTTGGGTTTGCAAGAGAGTGTAATGGATGCATCAAAAATCATGTCGTGTTGCACCAATAAAAAATGTGTTATCACTTCTTTCTGAAACAAAAGCTGTCCAATATCCTGGACCAATTCCTCGTGTTCCGGACGAGTTCCTCGTGTTCCGGAATAGTTCCTCGCATTTTGGAGGCTTCCGGAATGAAATTTTAAGATCTAGAATAGTACATTTCGATGTAAATTAACAATATCCAAACATCTAAACTACTTTTCAGTTGGTCCTATAACAATGATTTATTTAATTTAAACTCCAGAACGTTTTCAGATCATTCCTGAGATGTTCTATGCATTCCGGAAAAGTAATTGTAGATGAATAAGCAGGTCATACAAACAAGAAACCTAGGTTTTTAAAGTGAATATCGTACCCGTAAAATAACGGGGTCGTAGTGGTCTTCTTCCATGTCAGAGTTGTGTGCGGAGATCGGAGTTGCGTGTCAGAGATCGGAAAAAGTATCGGGGTTACGTGTCGGAATCGAATCGGAAAGTCGGAGGAAGATCTGGAATGAAGGCGAGGGCCCAGATTTTTTCAAATTATATTCGGGATTCTGAATTTCAAATTCCTGATCCAGAACACGGACGGATAGTCCGGAATCGGAATTTCGGAGACTCAGTAATGAGCCGGCCCACCCGAAAATGAGTCCAAAATATGTTCCGGAATACCCAATACCGAAATAAGTGGTAATTTAAAAAAATAAAAAATTATATTTTTAAAAAACACTAAAAAAAGATGGTTAGATTACTGTAATTCCCCAATAAACATGGGAGGATATAATACATCTTTGTCAGGCTGCAAGTCAGCAAACCGAATAGATGAAAACCAAGTTATCACATTAATTTTTATTTTTAATTTTTTATATTTAAAATCTATTTTTATTTTTATTTGAGTTGTTTTTAATTTTCGCATATAATATAACAAAAATTCTGTCTGAACTCGTAATTTACGAATGTTACATTTAAATATCATAATACCCTAACCACATGTAGATACAACTTTAATTTTATTACATAAAAAATTTTAAGATTCAAAAAAGAAAAAGGAAATAAAAGGATCATGATTTTGTAGAATATTATTAACTCGTGGTTTCTTGATTTTCGTATCACCTAACTCTAAATGTCCCCCCATCCACATGGTCCATGTTATGTCATATAATTCATTCATCTAACCCTTCAATCACCATCTTGCACCTCCTCTTCTACTTTCACAAATTTACAAGATAATTTACGACACAATTCCATAAGAATTCCGCTAAGAAAAACAAATTACAAGCATCAAGAAACATCCTCATAACACAAACGAAACCGAGAGGCATCATGCTTTCTGTCGAAGCTCAAAAACAAGAAACTCCACCACCTCCACCCCTTGTTTCTTCTTCGTCTTCTTCTTCATCACCAGCTTCTACTTCTAATAACACTAATACAAATAACATTCATAAAGTCGATGATGGCTCCAATAGACATGTTATTTTCAGATCAAAACTACCAGACTTACCCAACATCGCAAACCATATACCTCTTCACACCTACTGTTTCGAGAATCTTTCCCGATTCTCTGACAAACCATGTCTCGTTGTTGGTTCCACCGGAACCACCTACACTTTTTCCCAGACACACATTCTCTCTCGCAAAATAGCCGTTGGATTATCCGCTCTTGGTATCTCCAAGGGTGATGTGATTATGCTCCTGCTCCAGAATTGCGCTGAATTTGCGCTAACTTTCATGGCCGCATCCATGATTGGCGCGGTAACCACCGCCGCAAATCCCTTCTACACTGCTGGTGAAATCTTCAAGCAGTTCAATTCCTCCAATTCCAAGATGATAATCACTCAGGCGCAGTACGTCGACAAGCTTCGTGATCATGGGGAACACAACCCAAAAATGGGCCAAGATTTCCCGGTTATCACCGTCGATGACCCACCAGAGAAGTGCCTACATTTCTCAATGCTTTCTCGAACAAATGAAAACAATATTCCTTCTGTCACCATTGATCCGGACGATGCCGTGGCATTACCGTTTTCGTCGGGAACGACAGGACTGCCAAAAGGTGTCATCTTGACGCATAAGAGCCTGATCACGAGCGTTGCACAACAAGTCGACGGAGAAAACCCAAACCTTTATCTAAAACAGGAGGACGTGGTTTTATGTGTACTTCCGTTGTTTCACATATATTCACTAAACTCAGTGTTATTGTGTTCTCTGAGAGCAGGGGCCTCTGTGGTGCTGATGCCTAAGTTTGAGATAAGATCGCTACTTGAGTTGATACAAAGGTATAGGGTGACGGTAGCAGCTGTCGTACCGCCGCTGGTGCTTGCTTTGGCTAAGAATCCGATGGTCGGGAGCTACGACTTGAGTTCGATAAGGGTGGTATTGTCAGGGGCGGCGCCGCTGGGGAAGGAGCTCGAAGATGGTCTTAGAAGTAGAGTCCCACAGGCAATTTTCGGTCAGGTAAGTTGCACCATTTTTCTTTTAACCAAAAATATTTAATTACAAAATAAATAAATAAATAAGTTGCTGGGTGACGGTCAATGATTGTAAAGGAGTAAGAAAGTTGTGGCACTCATGACTTGTGTAATATAAATTACAACAAAATTATTAGATGACAATAATATGAGGCTCAGATTCTGATTTTGGTTGGAAAGTAGTTGAAAGGTCATTTTTGGCAACGAATAGCACTATATATGAGTTGAAATGTAGATGACATGAAAGAAAAAGAAAATATAAATCCATGGAACCTAGTGTTCTATGTTCCGATTAGATGAGTCAACAACTAACCTTTTGCTCAAGATTGGTTTATTCGCCAGAAGAAAGTAGCATTGGCTTAATCTCGTTCTCATATATCATTGTCATATAAGCTTATAAAAATTGAAGTTAAACGTAAATAGCATAAATAAGTGGCGTAAATCAATTGGTCTCAAATGAGTATTATGTGCTCTTATGAAATGATATAAACATCTATAGGTTTTTACTACCAAAGGGCCTTGCCTCGGTAGGAGTGACCTCTCCTCTCATTTGTAAGAGGCTAGGGGTTTGAAGTTTGAACCGTGGTATAGGTGGATTTAGAAGTTAATTATAATTTGCAGCTTCAAAAAAAAATGTAGATTTGTACTCTTTTTTTCATCCAAGGCTGCAAGCGTGATCATCAGCTTCTGTTAAGCATTAGTTGTTTTGCGGTTTTCTGTTTTTCCCATCCAAAAGGAAAGTAGATTTTCTTGGTTTAGGTCATTTAATAGCATACGTTGCTTAAACAAACATCTAATTACCTGGCTTATTGGTTGTGTTCTTTTATTAAATGCAATACACGTAAAGCCTTGCTGATGAATTGTAGCTCCATTCCATTTGCATGATGTCTCCTCTCCACAAACTACCTTACACACACACACACACACACACACACACACACACACACACATATATATATATATATATATTATATTATATATATATATATATATAAGGCTAGGTTAAAATGTGGATGATATCTATTGTGCGGACGTGCATGAACAATGTTATTCTATTAGAATAATTAAGAGAATAGGTTGTTTGGTAATGTTAATACGTTCAACCTCACATAATTATCGTCATTATCAAGCATTTTCAATAATTCTTATTCATTTTGTTTTTCACGCATCATTTTTCAAAGATTCTTGTTCTTACAGTATACGATTATCAAAGAACACATTTTGACACAATGAAAATCATAAAAAGAAATCTATAATACTCTTATAGACGATTTAATTAGTGAAAATGTGTGATAATGATAATAATATGTAAGAATAAACGTATTCACATTACCAAACAACAAATTCTTCTAGTCATTCTCACATAATAACAATGTTCACACGTCCACAAAATAGATGTCAATCCACATATGAACCTAACTCTATATATATATAAACTATAAATATGCTTTAGATGCCGTATGTATTACAATTCGCTGAATTTTATCAAAATGAACATATATGCACAATTTGTGACATGAACATATACATCTATGTTGACGAGAAATGTGCATATATGCACATTTGCAAAAAAAAAAAAAAAGATATTTTTTTTCGAAAAAAAATTCAAGGATTTGCCAAACATACGTACGTCTAAGGCATATGTGTAGTTTTGCTTGAAAAAAATATCAAGAAATAAGTTGGAAAAAGTTCACGTATTTTTACGAATCTTTGAGTTCTAAATGGATCTTTTATATATATATATAATATCTATATATATCTATATATATATATATATTATATATATATATATATATATATATATATATATATATAATATATTGTCTTCTATATATGTTCACTTGATGAGGCGATTCAAAAGAATAATTACAATTTACATATTAAAGTAATGCACCATGTATACATGTACATGTATACGCAAGACAGGGCTATGGGATGACAGAAGCAGGACCTGTATTGTCAATGAGTGCCGCATTTGCTAAACAACCATTGCCCACCAAGTCGGGTTCTTGTGGTAGTGTTGTCAGGAATGCCGAGCTTAAGGTCATAGACCCTGACACCTATTCATCACTTGGATATAATCAACCTGGTGAGATATGTATCCGTGGTCCTCAGATTATGAAAGGTATGTAATGCTTCCTTTTATTAGTTTTCCTTATTTATGTTAAATATAATTAATACATATGATGTTATAGGATACCTGAATGATGCCAAGTCTACAGCTGCAACCATAGATGAAGAAGGTTGGCTTCACACAGGTGATATTGGGTATGTAGACCATGATGAGGAGGTTTTTATTGTGGATCGAGTCAAGGAACTTATCAAATTCAAAGGCTTCCAGGTAACCATGGCTTTTAGTTAGTTCATTTATCGACTAAACATATTGACTAAATGATAATATTGAACTTAATATGTGGTTGATGAATCATTAGGTTCCTCCGGCAGAGTTGGAAGGCCTTCTTGTGAGTCATCCTTGTATTGCAGATGCTGCTGTTGTCTCGTAAGTGTAAATTAATGATGATGTATGTAATATATATATATATATATATATATATTATATATATATATATATATATATATATATATATATATATATATTCATGCTTAACAACACAAGTAATACTTAACAAAAACAGGCAAAAAGATGATGCTGCAGGGGAGGTGCCCGTTGCTTTCGTTGTTTTATTGAATGGGATGGAGCTCACTCAAGAAGCTGTAAAAGATTACATTGCCAAGCAGGTAATTGATTAACTAAAATGAAAAAGAAAAATAATCATTCATTATACTTACAGTTATAATTAAAATGACGATGCATGCATGTAGGTGGTATTTTACAAGAAACTGCACAAGGTCTACTTTGTGACCTCCATTCCTAAATCTCCATCAGGAAAGATACTAAGAAAAGATCTGAGAGCCAAACTCTCATCCACATGATCACCTTGTCATGTATTTTTCATAATACTTAATAACGTCCATGTATACGTATAGTTAGTGCTTTCCACTTTTCATTCCATAAGGTCATCTATTTTCCTAAAATATATAGAATTGTGTAATATGGGTCATCACATATATCCGACCAACATACATGTCATGCCAACATAATTATTTAAGGACATTGATTAACTTTAGAGGTGGATGGCAGAAGTTTATAGGCGATTACAAATCAACTTGTGCTTAATCATTCACCTTGTAAAGAAAATCCAGATGCCTTGAAAATCAACATCATATGGTGTATACGTTTGAGATTTTTAGGACAACAAAAACCAAATTTCTATACTTGAAGACCGGAGGAAGATGAATCTACATATGCCTACTAAACAAAGTACTCAATTAGTAGTAGGTACATCACTAGAAGTCACAATAGAGTTTGATTAAAATAAATTCGAAAAAGATCTATTGCTAGATACAAAATTAAACAAATTTAATGCATAATTACGAAACAAAGAAGAACGCTCACGATGTTTGCAAGGTTTAGTTAGAGTTGGTCAATTCTCAATGGCCTCTCTTATTACTTCTTAATTTTGATTTTCAATACAATTTGTCTTCTTGATGCATGCCTCTGAATACACAACAAAATCTCAAAGAACCTTTTTTAAGAACTTATAAAATTACATGAATTCTCAACAAAACAATTTATATATGATCTATCAAGATCAATTACAAAATAAAAAAACTTGAACAAAGTATGTGATTGTGTGCTCCAAACGTTTCACTTGATGTCTCAACTTCCATGACATTCAATCGATAAATTATTTCCGTTCAAGTAACTAATGATATGTGGTACCAAAAATTGAAATTCATATGGTTGGAGTGTCAACTCACCCATGAGTTTTTCTAACATAGTTGGTCATTTTGTGTGTCATATGAAGTCACGAAGACCATTATAATTGCAACTTATTGTAATCTCTTAGTTTGTGAATATTTATAATGTTTTGCATGTTATGCATATAAAGATATATATTTGATTTAGTTCTAAACGAATGTAGATGTATTTTTACAAATAGTTACAACGTAATATATATATATATATATATATATATATATATATATATATATATATATATATATATATATTATATATATATATATATTTGTTATTCAAATCGACATCGATTTTTTTAATTTATATAATATTTATTTATTATGATAGCAAAATAAAATTTGGCATAGGCTATTGTAAATTTATAATTTCTATGTATTTTGTATAAGAGATAATTTCTCATTATTAATTAATTTCATTTTATTTCTTTGTATTTTCTCATTTACCAAACAATATGATTTATTGACTCATTTCATTCCAAATGTGCAACTAACTAGGGTAGTGAAAGGTAATAATTAATTTTATTATATTATCTATTTCGTTATTTGGTCTACAGTATTTTTTTTTAGACAACCCATTCCATCTAACCAACCAGAACCTAAATGGCTTGGAGCATCATTAATGATATTTATTTGTAAAAAAAAATTTACTACTTGTATAAATATATTTATAGGTTTTTATATACCATTGAAGTGAAAAGTTTTTTAATATTAGATGAATAGTTATGATAAGCTACTTTGACTAATTCTTTTTTAATCTTTGATATTTATATTAATTTTAAAAGTTTTGAGAAATAATTCATAATAATATAAGTTTCGATAAATATATTTAATTCTATTTTTTATGTTTAAGCAAATAGATAATTAATACATACATAATAATAACTTCATATATATATATATATATATATATATATATATATATATATATATATATATTGGTAAACCGCTGGCGTGCATGATTTAAGATAATAATATTTCACTCCTGCTTGTATTAATTGTAACATCCATAAAATTCATGTAAAAATTAAACTTTTCAAACATTCCAAAACCATCCATTGGTTACAAATTGTTTTCAAAATAATCAAATATCAGAGTTTTTCCCAGAAATCAATCATGAAAAACGAGGAGGTGCACGATCAAGTCTTCGCCTTCCCGTGATCATCTGATGTACCTGAAACAAAATCCACAACTGTAAGTCAGAAGCTTAGTGAGTTCCCCCAAAATACCCATACATAACACATAGTACACATAATAACAGCATGTAATGGGTCCACGGCTTTACAGGCTGGATTACCCCCGAGCCCACAACATGAGTCTGGCTTGCATATCGGGCCCACAACTCATGTCTGGATTGCTCCCGAGCCCATAGCATAATTATGGCTTGCCCCTTGGGCCCACAGCTTATGTCTGGCTTGCTCCCTTAGTCCTTGGACTGGCATACAAAAGATTAGCCCGCAGTACGAGTCTGGCATGCCCTGCCCGACCCTCAGCTCGTATCTGGAATGCTCATAAGTCCTCAGTATGAGTCTGGCATGCCCTCACTGGCCCTCAACTCATATCTGGCATACTACAGGGTTTGTCGGCTACAGCACGGAGCAGTACAACCTCAACCCAACCCACACAACATGTCGACATGTAATAGATAATCACACATACAGATAATCATACAGTATCACAGGTAGTCCTACAGATCTACCAGACTAGCATATCAAACTAGCATGCATATCTAACTCATACTCAGCATATCAATAACTACTAGGATATCAATCCAATGGGCCAGATTTGGTGCCTTCGACCCCTAACTCATACTCACAAGTAGTGCTGAACCGGTAATATCAATCCCAACTCACAGCTCCAACTCAACTACATATAATCACCAAGTGACTAACCTCATCAAAATCCCTAAATACCCAAAATACCCTCAAGGTCAAACTTGGTCAACCATGGTCAAATTCAAAGTCAACAGTCAATGTCAATAGTCAAGGTCAACGGTCCATGTTGACCCAACTCGTCGAGTGCATCTACTGACTCGTCGAGTTCCTTCATATCTCAGAAAATCGTGAAAAGCTCGAGACAACTCACCGAGTTACCAGAGCAACTCGTCGAGTTCTTCATCATTCCAGAAATCGGGAAAGCACGAACCAACTCGTTGAGTTGGTAGAGCAACTCGTCGAGTTTTCCTAGCCTTAATGCATTCAGACACTTCCAAGCGAAACCAAAGCCCCAAACTATAGATATGGTCCCTTAGGATTGAAATATCACGTAAAGTTGTTAGCTTTACGTCCATGCATGGCATCAAGAGGGCTAAAACACTCAAATAAGGCTTATAAAGGGACTTAGAGCATGAAGGAGGGCCAATACTTGATAAAGTTGGAAACTTTAAGTCCTCGGAGGCCATGAGGTGTCCAGATCTGAAACCATGGCTTCATAACATGCTCAAATCCAAGAATGGTCCCAAAATAAGCTAATAATGGCCATAAACTTTCAAAAGAAGAGATCTAGCAAAGGGATGATCAAGATAACGACTTTATACCTCCAAATGGTTGCAACAACACTGAAAATATCGGATCTAAAGCTTCTCCCTTAAACTTTGCACCACCAACTTCACACTCCTGGGAATCGGCGTGTTACAACTCTCCCCCACTTAAACTAGGCTTCGTCCTCGAAGCCAGATGTAGTAAACAAATCCAGATAGTGCTCCCACATCTTAGCCTCCGGCTCCCAAGTCCACTCGGATCCCTTCTGATGATGCCACTGTACCTTTACCAAAGGTAGCTCCTTGTTGCGTAGGACCTTTATCTTTCTTTCCCAAAACAGCCATCGGCCTCTCAACGTAGTTCAGGCGCTCGTCGACCTGAATATCATCCAATGACACAACCACGCCCTCATCCAATATGTGTTGGATTAGGTGTCTAAGCCCATAACTATATTTGGTATGTACTTGACCCGGTTGTAGCATGGTCCTTTTGGGTTGCCTTCACCGGAGCAACTTGACTGGATGTTTAATGGAGAAATAGGTTATTATGATTTATTAATATATTATATGAATAATATATTAAAAGAGAAATCATATTGGTTAATTAATATTGGTCAAGAGTTAATTAAGAATTAATTTTGTGGTCAAAAGATATTAATTGAACTTAGGGGACTGGAATTGCAATTATAAGATAATTGGATTTTGGGCCGTGGATCCCTTAGAAATGGGATGGACGAAATCAAGGGGGAAGCCCACATTGATTTCGTCCAAGGCCTTGTTTCTGGAAGGTTCATTTGGACTGCTTAAGGCCTAAGCAATCCAATTAGGGTTTTGACTGAAACCCTAGCAGCTCACCTATATAAAGGACCCTATGGCTTCACAAATCGGCTACCACTTGAACCCTAGAGATCTATAGTCGATTTTGATCCACCTTCCTCTCTCTCCAAGATCATCCAACTTGCCTTGGTGTTTTTGATCGATTAGAGGTATTACACTTGTGATACTAAAGCTCTCAAAGGTTGAAGATTCTTGCTACAATTGAAAGGTAATCATCTAAACTTGTTTTAGTTATTGTTTTCGATTTTTGTATGCTAGTATTAGGGTTTACAAGCTTTGGATGATTTGCATGTACAATTAGAGAAACCTAGATCCAAAGCTTTAGGGTTTGCATGTGCACCATAGGATTGGTGTAATGCTCAAAACCCATCAGTGGTATCATATCCTAGGCTGTTGTTTATTGTATTTGATGCCTTGTTTGATCATTCATTGCTTGAAAATCGAAATTTATGCCCTTTGAAAGTTGAACTCGTCAAGTCACCTGATGAACTCGACGATTCAGATGAACTCGACGAGTCCAGACAGTGACTCGGCGAGTTGGAGAGTCAGAGAACAGATCTTTCGGGATTTTGGCCTATTTTGGATTGGGATAATTACCAAAAATGTTTTTGGATTAATAAAATCCGATTTTTATTAAATTGATATGATTATTCTCATCCAAATAGAAGATAATTGCAAATTAATTGGATAATTATTGCCTTATATGATAACTTTAATTATTTGAATTATTTGATTGAATTATCTTGCCATGAAATAAAATTAGGTCAAATTTAGATAATCACTAATTAATTGTTTAATTAAATTATTTGTAATTTGATCTAGAAAGTTTTGAATAGTTTCAAGACTTGCCCTCAAGTTTGGAATTTAAATATTTTGATTAAAAGTTTAATTTTGAAACATTTAAATTCTAAACCCTAGAATTTTACAAGTTTAAAATTCAACCCTTATACTATTATAATA